ATGGGAATATGAAAGGTTGCTATATATTTAGCCAATGATTTGGTTCCTGGAGCATAATCCTGTCTACACAGGCTGGCAGCTGCTCTCTAGGTCATCAGACCAGATACTTTCCTGGCTCTGTCTGGAGATATTAGAGAGTAAGCCTAGGAGGCAGAGGCAGTGACAGATTTTACCTTCTTGGGCTCCATGATCACTGCAGATGGTGACAGCAGCCACGGAATTAAAAGATGCCTGCTTCTTGGGAGGAAAGCAATGACAAACCTAGACAGCATCTTAAAAAGCAGAGACATCACCTTGCCGACAAAGGTCCCCATAGTGAGAGCTATGGTTTTCCAGTAGCAATGTATGGAAGTGAGAGCTGGACTCTAAAGAAAGCTGACCGCCGAAGAATTGATGCTTTTGAGTTATGGTACTGGAGGAGACTCTTGAGAGTCCCCTGGACTGCAAGGAGAACAAACCTATCCATTCTGCAGGAAATCAACCCTGAGTGCTCACTGGAAGGACAGATCCTGAAGCTGAGGCTCCAATACTTTGGCCCTCTCATGAGAAGATTCCCTGGAAAAGCCCCTGATGTTGGGAAAGTGTGAAGGCAAGAGGAGAAAGGGGACAACAGAGGACGAGATGGATGGACAGGGTCATCCAAGCGACCAACATGAATTTGACCCAACTCCGGGAGGCAGTGGAAGACAGGAGGGCCTGCCGTGCTCTGGTCCATGGGGTCACAAAGATTCGGACACAACTTGACGACTAAACAACAACAACAAGCCTAGGATCTGTTGCACACAAGACTTCATTCTCTATCACTGAGTTACAGGCCAGTTTTTTGTCATGTTACACTTTGCTTGGAGGCTCCAGAACCCATGAAAAGTTATGATAGTTGCTCCTGGGAGAAAGAATGGGACATCCTCACAGTTGATCGAGAAAGGGGAAAAAATAGTCCTGTGAGCAATCCCCTATGAGTTTCTAATGGATTTTCTCAGTTTGCATATCATGTTCATCAGGGAGAAGAAAGATGATCCAGATGATCATCTTCCGTGGATGACAAAGCAACTGTTGCCTTTTTTGGGACTCCCTGAAGAGTCCATGTTTCTTTCCAACCATTTCACTGTATTTTTTTTCCAACTGCTTTTAATATTGGTATACTTTTTAATATTGGTATACTTCTTGTTTTTCGCTTTAATACTGCCTTTTAATGACGTAAGCTGCCTCTTTATACTCAATTGTTCTTAGCTTTAACCATTGTCTTTCAGTGATGTAAACCACCCTTGTACACTCATTGTTTTCAGCTGTCAGTATTGTCTTTCCGTTATGTAAGCCGCCTTTCAAGGAGAAAGGCAGGGTAAAAATAATTTAAATAAAATGAATGAATGAATGAATATGTAGCCAAATACATTTTATAGGCAGATTCTGGAAAGCTCTGTTGCAACCCCAGAGTTTGGGCGAGTGCGTAGGAGAAGAATATACTGTATACTTTCTCGTCCCACGAGGCAATCGTCTAGCGAGGCACCACTGTATATATTTACAGCTTTGTTGATTATATTGGATAGCGAGCCGCCAAACCGTTGCTCATATTGTGGCATGATAAACGTTGGTGGTTGAGGCAGTGGCCTCCTCGGTTTTGCAAGGTGAAAGTAGCTGCAGGAAACGCATTTTGAGACCCAAACATTAATATACAAATGGTATGTGAATGAACAAGCCCTTTAATGGTGCAGTTATTATCTGCTTACTCTTAGAGCATAGGAGGGAACAGGATTAATTGGGTAGAAATTGCTTCAGCTATTTTTCTGCTTTGTTTGGTGAAAAAATAAAATAAAGAGGAAGCTTAATTCTGTTTAGGGTGAAATGCTTACTAAAGCTGGGCGATGCATTTGTGGATCATCTTCTAGTGTATTCATTATTCCTCGTACTGTACATAAAATGGAGTGCAGCTGATGCTAACAGCTTTCATTTCCCTTCACGCAGTTCAGTGTCCCCCCTGCCACCACCCCCGCCCCGGGAAAAGCCATCCGTCTCTGTGCGCTATTATGTCTGGGAGGCAGCGTTCTTCTAAGCTTTTGGTGCACCCCAGTGCCTCTCTGATGAAAGCAGAATTGCTGCCTTGAATTTACTACTTCTATTGCTGTGGGAATTCTAGATGCCCCAAACTGATTTTTTAAAAAGCTCTGTTGCTAATGGCAACTCAGCCTAATCCCTTCCTGTATATGGTATATGGCTTACCGACTTTGACGGAAGACTGCAGTCTAGAATGCATTTCTTTTATTCATTGTGTTTACATATCTGTGAAGAAACTATGTACTGTATATGTGTGGCAAAAATTGAGTGTGGTGTTAGGTTTTCTTTTTGAATTAGATGGGTAAAGTAAGAGAATTATACCTTCTGCTGAGAGCGTAGGCAAAAAAAAAAAAAGCTTGCAGTGTTCAAAGGTTGGGCTGGCAGGCTGACAACCAGCTGTAGAAATGGCCTTACAGCAAAGCAGAGAATATGGTTTCTGTTTTATATCCCGAGTAAATAGCTGGGGCCTTCGTACCCTCTTAAGTCCTTTGGCCAAAACCTGGCTTCATACGCTCACTCTCCACATCCAGGAAAGACAGAGGCCCAGCAAAGCCCTTTGCTGGTCCTTACAGGTCCCAGTCATCTGTGGCGAGCTTGATTTCTCATCTCCCATGTGATTTCACATGGGAGCATGCTCTCAGCTGACACCAGCAAAGCCTAGCTGATTGCTGGCCAGCTTCCCTCTCTCTGCCTCTTCCCTGCACAGGTGAATGGCATGGAAATGCCTGCAGATGACAGATGGGTTTGGCAGAAGGTGAGAGGGTGGCATTCAAGGGAATCCCCACTGTTTTTGCCAGTCGCTGGTTGGAAATAACCAGGGGTGAGTCCACTTATATCACACTGTAGCATTATAAGGAGCAAAGAAGGCACTGGAGCTTTTGTGGGTTAGAAAGTCCTTGATTTGCTCACCCACCCACACAAAAAATGAGTTTTACAGAACTGGAAGTGTATTTCTTGCCACTTCTACTTGCACTTACTTAATTATGTAACAAAGGGAAATCACATAAGTAAACAGTCGTAACAGTTTTTCCAGACTATCTATCGTTACTACTCTCTGCATTCCTTTGCACCTTCTCATACTTACTTCCTTTATCTATACTTTTCAGTCCATATTTCGGATCCAGTTATAAAACCGTTTTCATTTTTGAGTCCTTTTCGAGATGATCTTTTATTTAATGCTTCTGTTAGAAAATCCATCTCTGCCACTTCCAATATCTTTTCTCTCAATTCCTCCAGATATGGTACCTCTTATTTCTTCAGATATTTTCCATATATTATCCTCATATTTCGGATCCAGTTATAAAACCGTTTCCATTTTTGAGTCCTTTTCGAGATGATCTTTTATTTAATGCTTCTGTTAGAAAATCCATCTCTGCCACTTCCAATATCTTTTCTCTCAATTCCTCCAGATATGGTACCTCTTATTTCTTCAGATACTTTCCATATATTATCCTCGCTGCTGTAATTACATGTATTATCAAATATCTCATCTCTTTATCTACATTTTCAGTCATAATATTTGGTCAAAACAATGTTAACATGTATTATCAAATATATTGTTTCTTCATCCACTATTTCAGTCATAACAGTCAGTTTAAAAAATTCCAGTTTAAATGGTATCACATAAGATAATTTTTGGTAACCTTTCATGTATACGTAGATCTACAATAACATTTTGCTTCCCTACATGTCCACCACATGTGATAAAAAGTACCCCCTGCATTTTACATTTCCCACATTTTTGGGAGTATTCTTATAAATTTTAGGCAATTGAGTTGGATTCATATGCCATCTATAAAACATCTTCTATATATTTTCTTTAAAGTTTACTGATTTTGTAAGTTTAATATTATTCTTCCAAATGTGTGCCCACTGTTCTAAAGCAATACTATGACCAATATTTTGTGCCCGTACAGTATTTTACCACTTCATCTTCCATTTTCATATTTAAGAAATATTCGTACATTCTTTTAATTATTTTATCATTTGTCTCTAACAATAGTTTATCAAATGTCATTTGTTTTTCACAGAAACCCATTATTTTGTCTTTTGCATACCTGAAGTCTAATTGTAATCTCATCCACCAATCTAAAAATGTTTTTGCTTCTCTAACTCCTCTCTAGTCTTCAACGTCCCTTCTTTCTTAAGCAAATCTCTACATCTTATCAGTCTTATTGAGTTTATTAAAATAGGTTGTGTAAATGCTTCTAATGGTGACACCCATTTTGTTATATATGGTATTTTATTATATATTTGTTTTTGTTTCTTGTTCCAAATACATAAAAAGATTTTCTTATCATATTGTTATTGAAAACTTTATACTCTTTACCTTTCGGATACCATAGAAAGGCATGGTTCACAACGAAGAAGCCAAAATGAGGACTCTTTTGTTAGAATAATTAGCCATTGTGACTACACCATTTCTCTTCATTCTAAGCGGTAGAGTCATATGTTCTGCTTGCAAAATCTTATATGGGACATTTTTGTACACTGCAATGGGAGCAGTGTGATAAGGTTGTAAGTTACAACTTTAAAGTGTTGATAATAGTACCACATTTCCTTTGTGGTTGTTTAATAGCCTTTTATCTGTAATAAATGACAGTCGGAAAGAAGAACTGGTGTCTTGTTGAGTGGAGTTAAGATAAACTGTACAGATTGTGATTGACTGAGTAGACCAAATCTAGACTAGTTGATCACGTAACCAATATCCGTCTATAGTCTGTTGTTGTTCCTCTCCTACTGACTGCAGGACTGCTATTTTGACTTTGCAGGTGAATCTGAAAGTAATCAAGGAGGACAGAAAGAGAAGTCTTTTTCACTTTTAAAGTGGTGGCTATGCTTTCAAGCCTGGGGCCATCTAATTTATGTAATACTCCTTGCATAACAGATTATGAATCAAAATGAAAGATAGATGACATCTCACTGTAGACTGTTTTGTTTGCATTTAGAATCACAAAACCACCTTGGAAAACTTTGCATATGAAGAGTCAACATGACCTTTGAAACAAGGGAGGAAATGGAAAGCAATTGTCTGGTGCACCTTGTATGAAATTTGAAACTGTCATATCTCAAAAATCTTTGAGGTAACTTTCAGTATTGATGAGCAAACACTTGATTAAGAACAGAAATCCAGAAATGAAACTGCTCTTAGCAGTAAAGCAGCAGGCAAGAAGAATGACCTTTTGCTGTAGGTGAGCTTCTACCCCATTTTAGTTCCAAACATTTAGGAAAAAAATACTGTACTTGCCAAAATCTTATGTAGCAACAACAGATCCCCACGTCTGTGTGCTTTTTTTTTTTTTTTACAGCGTTAACCTTCAATAAACATCAGCTAAAATTCTTATTTGGTATCTTCATTCTTTAAAATGAGGATTCAGTACAGGAGGAAGATCCTTGCCAAATACTGCCATATTCATCTTTTAGACAGAAATATTCGGAGTTGATAATTAGTGAAGCTTGGTAGGGTTCGCAGATGGTTTCACTTCAAAGGCTTTGAAGATGGTCATGTGTAGTGCATTGTATGTACCTTCTTTGAGGGATAGAGCAAAGATGTATTGGTAAAACTACACTTGAGATTTAAAACCATTTCATACATTTGGAGCACCTTTTTCATTCTAAACTTCTTGTGTCTTGCATCTAGACGTCCATTAATTCAGACAGATACTGGTAGGTAGTCTTAAATCTGTGTTCAGGAGCACTTTGCCCCTTCCTTCAATGTAGTTCTGTGCATCACGAATGGGCCAACTCTAACTACTGTCACATGTGTAGCTTCAGCCCCTGTTTTGCCTTCCAATAATGGGGGAGGTGGGGAAATTGGCGCTCTTCTGGCCAGCTACAAAATTTTGAGAGTGGTGGTTTCCTGAATACAGGGGCCCAGATTTTCTTGGACTATAATTCCCAGAAGCCCTATCCATTGACTTTCTGGGCTAGGACCCCTGGCAGTTGTAGACCAAGAGCATCTGGTCCCCCAGATTTGGGAACCTCTCTTTTAGAGCTATACTGTAATTGATTTAGCACCCTCTTTCCCAAAGTAAAGCCATGGGTCCTTTTAGGGAGAAAGGCGGAGTAAAAATATTTTAAATTAATAAAGTAAATAAATAAGTACTTGATGTTCTTTTGCCAGCTGTAGCCAAAATAAGGAGTTTAGGCCTTAGAGAGGGGAGCTGGTTATTTCCTAGGACATGATGATCAGGACAACTATGAGAAAGATAATCTTCTTACTCCCAAGGTAAAGAGGAAGAACGGAGCTGCCGCTATCACTTCATCAGGGTAAAGAAATAATTAAACTGGCTGAGAAGAATGAGGATTTGTATCATATATCAACTGCAACTTAAAAAGTTTGCTTGGAAATCATTTTCTTAAATCATTGCACTACTTTTGTTTGTTTGTTTGCCTGTATGTTTGTTTATTACATTTGTACTCCACTCTTCCACTAAAAGCTAATACTGAAGGTGGCTTACAAACGTATTAAAATGATAAAAACAGATAGCCATATTAGTGCCTCAAAAATGTTTATATGTTACTCCAACTGGGAAGCCTCAGTTGGTTATGACCATTTGTAATTTTTTTTTTCAGATAAGGAGAACTGGTTAAAACTAGGTTGGATTTGATTTAAATCACGATTTAAATTTTTTAAAAATCAGATATTTTTGGACAATTCAAATAAAAATCAATTTTTATTGAAATCATGATTTAAATCAAATTGTTTTTTATCCACCCCTACTAAAACCGTATTTCATGTGTACAAAGCTAGTTGTCAGTGTGATTTGGCTTGGATAGTCTATGGAGAGTGAAGACGTTTTGGATTGCAAATCTTATCTGCTAACTTGAGACCCTTGGGTGGCACTCTTTATCAGTTTGGCACTAGAGTGGCTTTGAATCTTTCAAACTTTGTGTTTGAGAATACAGTACGTTAGCAGTTGCAAAGCAGACATACTTTACAGTTCGGTGTACTGACCACCATTCCCATCCATATCTATTACCTCCAGTTGCAAAGCAGACATACTTTACAGTTCAGTGTACTGACCACCATTCCTATCCATATCTATTACCTCCCCCTTCCTTCCTTCCTTCCTCCCTTCCTTCCTACCTACCTACCTACCTACCTACCTACCTACCTACCTACCTACCTACCTACCTACCTACCTACCTACCTACCTACCTACCTACCTACCTACCTACCTACCTATAGGGACACTTCACATAGCTTTTTATTGTTAACCAAACCTCATCTGTCCAGGCCTTTTTGTATATCTTTTTGTATTTTCCTCTCTTTCTAGAATGCCATCCTTTTTTTCTTCCTTCTGTTAATTTTGTCACTTTTTGCCCTACTTATTTGCTTAGTTTTCCCTATCATGGAGGTATATAATTGTAGAACTCATTTCCCTTTCTCCTAAAGATTTTTTGTGTGTGTTTTAGCAAAATTCAGGGTTCCTCTGAGTCTGCCATTATTACTTCAATACAGTTCAATAACAAAGCTAAAATGATCAATAATCATCATAATAATGTATTGTGTAGTCAGTTCTGGCTTTTGGTGTGGCAGTCTTTTCCCCCCCTAAGGTATAGAATACCCAGAAGTAGTTTACAATTTTTGTCTTCAGGGGGCACCATGGGACTGTGCAGGTTGCCCAAGGCTACATAGGCTGGCTTTTCTTCTGGGAGGTGCAGTTGGGAGAGTGGTTAAACTCTCAAGTCTCTGACTCCACAGCTAGATACCTAACTCACTGTTCTTCTTCGTGGCCTCTGTGAATGCACACAAATCTGTATTCACGAAGGCACACAGATCTCGGAATATTCTAGAGCTTAAAAATACATGATTAGTAGGACGTTGCCCTGTGGGGCACATGCTCTGCCCGCCCGTAATACCTCAGTTCCTTTTAGCCGCTGCTGAAATCGGACTTACCAATTTCGATTGGTAAACCAAGTTTACCAATTCTGTGCCCTTCCCTTCGGCCTGTCTACCACTCCGAGGACCTTCACAAAGTGTATGGCTCCAGTCACTGCCTATCTTCGTCTACAAAACATCACAGGGTTCCCATATATAGATGACTGGTTGTAATAGCAAGATCACACAGCGCAGCCCGAAGGGACACTACTTTTGTTCTACAGACTCTGGCAGATCTTGGCCTTCAAGTCAATCACAAAAAAATCTCATCTGGAGCCATCTCAGACAACAGATTATATTGGGGCCCATCTTGATTCCATCGTGGCCAGTGTGTTTACTCCTCCAGAGAGGATACTCAAGTGAAGGCGAGCCATCCGCCCCTTTCAGCTTTGTACCACAATCACTGCTCACCATACACAGCACCTGCTAGGCCTGATGGCATCAACTACATCTGTACTTAAACATGCAAGACTGAAGATGAGGTCCTTACAGGCATGGTACCTATCCCAGTTCGACCCTTTGATAGACCATCCTTCCAAGTGTCTACTGGTGACTCCAGAGTTGGGTCGCCAATTTACCTGGTGGACCTTCGTCCCTCACCTCCTGATAGGCTGCCCATTCAGACCTCTTCAGCTTACGGTACAAGTCACTACAGACGTCAGTACGACAGGATGGGGAGCACACCGTGGTCATCAAAAGATCCATGTGTTGTGGTCAAGCTCAGAGAGGCTGATGCACATCAATCAACTAGAGCTGCTTAGCAGTCATCAAATCTTTCCGAGCTTTCCAATTCCTCATAGCTGGTTGCAGGGTCAATATGACCACCCTGTATTATATCAACAAAAAGGGTGGTACCCGTTCTTTACCTCTTCTATATCTAGCGATTCAGCTGTGGGAATGGTGTTACGATGACCACGTTTTTCCGGTGGCTCTTCATGTGGCTACAGAGGACAATGAGGTTGCCAATCATCTGAGCCGTCTTACTACCCAGACCCACGAGTGGGCTCTCAACAACACCATCTTCTCCCTTCTCTGCAGTCAGTGGGGGACGCCAGGTCTCAACGTCTTCACCACTCAGACCAACTCCAACTGCAGCAGATACTGCTCGCAGGCAGGGAGAGGAGACAACTCTCTACGTGATGCCTTCATGGTGGATTGGGGCGACAGCCTACTCTATCTTTTTCCACCCATTCCACTCATCCAGAGGATGGTAGGCAGGATCCGTCAGCTGGATTGGGATGCCGTTCTGATAGCACTGTGGTGGCCTCGTCAACTGTGGTGCACTACTCTCAGAGCCGTGGCTTCGGACTTCCTGAAACTACCCCTTCAACCGTCCCTTCTCACTCAGGACGGAGGTCGGATTTGCCATCCCAACCTCAGCTGTCTTCACCTCACTGCATGGAGGATTCTCCTAACGTGGCCGAAACCTTAAACAGAGCAAGAAACCCTCTACTCAATTACTGTATTCATATAAGTGGAACTCTTTCGTCAAATTTGCGGTATCCTATAAATTGCCTACGGTCCCAGTTTCCAAGACTCACTGCAGTACAGGAGTGTACTCAGGACACAGGATCTAATCTATAGACCTGGATCTTGGTATATGTTATCAGCTTCTTATTAAGTCATACTCTCTTTGTGAGTCTAGAGAACATGGTAGCTGCTTTCCCAATGCGTTTATCCAGCTCGACATCTAGAGAGAGAGTGTCAGAGATGGTTGAGCCAAGGTACACAAAGTCATGAACAACCTCCAATTCTTGTGTGGAGATCGTAATAGAAGGAGGTGAGTCCACGCCCTGGCCCATGACTTGTGTTTTCTTCAGGCTGATTGTTAGTCCAAAGTCTTGGCAGGCCTTGCTGAAACGATTCATGAGTTGTTGGAGGTCTTCAGCAGAGTGGGCAACAATGGCTGCATCATCGGCGAAGAGGAAGTCCCACATTCGTTTCGGATGGACTTTGGTCTTTGCTCTCAATCTAGTCCGGAGATAGACACCTTCTGTTGCAGTTCCAAAAGCGTGCTTCAGCATGACAGCAAAAAAGAGATCCCAAACAATAGCATACCACTCTTTGAATGTCTCACAGACCTTGAGCATCCCAATATGATCTTTGCAGGTGGGAAAATTCTTGCTGGTGCATATCAACAGGATAAATAAAAAGCATGTGCCATCAAGTCAATGCTGACATTTTCAGGATTTTCCAAGT